AGTACAGTTAACTGATGACAGCACCCAAATAAACATATAACAAGTTTCTCAACAGAGGGATCCACAGGCTAATTCAATTTCAATTGACAGACCCAAAGGATATGATTTAATTGAGGTTCCAGAATTTTTGTAAGGTATTCTTCTTGGCTCAGGAACATATATATGCATATATACATATACATTTAATGTGAAAAGGGTGATTAATTAAGGACTTAGACTTAAGGAGGTTAAGTTTTTTAAATTATATCAGTGGCATCAGTTATGTGGTATTTTTCAGATTTTATCACCTAGAGTTGATCATTTATAAGTTGATTCATAGGTTCTGTTCCTGTTTCCCTTTTGACTGTGTACTTATAGCCTTCATTTTATTTTTTATAGCATCACAATTACCTTTATATGTAATATACTATGGGGAGAGATTCCTCTTGGTAATCTCCAGTCCCTCACAGTGCTTCAGAGGGCTGATTAATGGCTTTTGGAGCTCAAAGGACCTTGGAGCTTATCTAGTTATACTCCCTTTTTATTAGAAGTGAGGGAATGAGATCAATGAGAAGGTAAGATTCTGTGCAAAGTTATGCCACTCGTGGGTGACAGGGCTGGAAATGGATAGCAGTCTACACTCTAAATCTCTCCACTCCCAATATGACACACTTCTATTATAATATACTATTGCTTTATGGTACTCAGGTCTATCTCTAGATGTGTCATTAGAACACAGATTTTCTGCCTCTGATTTTGGCATATTTCTTCTAGAATTCTTCCATCTAAAGGAAAAGAGAAGCCATGCATCTATATTTAGTAACCCAATAATATCTCACTTGGTTTAGAATTAGGCTTCCAGTAAAGTCAGTCCTTCAGAACACACCTATCAAGCTGATAACTGATAGACATTCCCTAAATTTTAGTTCTATAGGCAATATCTCTACTTCTTCAATCAGTGACTTAAAAAAATTCTTTTAATAAATAATTTGATAAAATTGTTTCTTCAATTTTCCCAAGGCTATAATAGATGGAAGCAACAAATTAAGAGGATGGAATACGTATTCTTCAATGGATATCAAAGGAAGAGGTTATAAAACCAAAGCCATTTGGCAAACACTACAGGCTGGGACATTTAGGGCGGGGTCAGTAGCTCAACCCACTTTACCCAAAGATCCCCACCCAGTGAAGACAACCCAGACCCTAAGTTGATGAGAAAAAGTCAGGGAAGTGTATGTTGCAGTTGAAAAAGATTCCCCTCATGTGGTTAACTTTGTTACCCAGAAAGTGGATATATGTAGAAAATCTTGTTCCCAGATGACTTTGGACAATTAAAGTTTTATTCATGGAAATCGGTATTATTTCTCAATTTTATGTGCGAACATTAAAACCTTGCCTTTTTTTTGAAGTGACCTTACACGAGATGTGAAATTAAATTTAAATTAAAAGATTGCTTAATGTTCCCTTTTGGCCTAAGATTTTCATTTAGCACCAGAATAATTGGTTATTCATGTTTTAATTGGAAATTCACTTAAAACCATGTCAGAGTTGGAATTGAGAAATTATGTCATGGTGTATAGTATCAAAATGCAGATGTTGATTTTTTTTTTAATAAGAGGATGATCAAATATCTTTTTGTTTCCCTATTACGTGTCCTACACCTGCTCGAAAGAGGTATCTCAAGAAAAATAAATTACATTTTCAATATGGGTGCTAGTTTTTTCCTAAGAATTGATGTCAGTTGGAAATATAAATAATTTTAGTGGTATTCTAGATATAACACTATAATTCTCACTGAGGTGCACTGGAAAGAGCAGAGCCTCAAGTGTTACCCTTCTTAGGGACATTTAATGATCTAGAGATACAAACAGCAGAAATCCTTCACGGTCAAAAAGGCACCACCAAAGACCTTTCTCAGTGAACTGGCATTCGTTCCTTAATGGGCAGTACAATATAGCTTTTGTTCATCTGTTTCTTTCCCGGTGGGCCCGTCTCCTGGCCACACAGCAGCTTCATCAGAGAATCAAGGCTTTTTCCTTTTTTTTGAAAACCACAGGTTTTCTTAAAGCTCCCAGATCTCCACCCTGCCTGTGGCCCATCCTCCCACCGAAGCTCCCAGGCTCCATTAGGGACTCTTATTCGTTCCCTCACCTGAGAAATGTCCAGCTCCAAACCCCTCTCTCCAGGCCACTGTCACTTCAGATAAATGTTACCTTCTATCCTAGTGTTTTTTTGCTGCCTAACAAATTATTACAATCTTAGCAGTTTAAAACAACACTAATTTATTATTTCACTGTTCTCTAGGTCAGTAGGTGGGCTTAGCTGGGTTCTCTGTTTAGTATCTATCTCACAAGCCCAAAATCAAGGTGTGGAAGTTGTGGGGAAGAATCTTCTTCCAAGTGCATTCAATTTGTTGGAAGTAGTCAGCTCCTTGTGGTTGTCGGACTGAATTCTCCATTTTCTTTCTGGCTCCTGGCCAGAAACCTCTCTCCTAGAGGCCACTGCAGATCCTTGTCCCAGGCTCTACCCATCTCAAAGCCAGCAATGGAGAGCTTGCCTGCTGTCAAATCCCTCTCACACCTTGAATCTCTCTGACTTCTCCTTATGTAACAGCAGAAAGAAACTCTGGGTGTTTTTTTGTTTGTTTGTTTGTTTTTGGTGAGAAAGATTGGCCCTGAGCTAACATCTGTGCCCATCTTCCTATATTTTATGTAGGACGCCTGCCACAGCATGGCTTGACATGTGGTGCATTGGTCCACACCCGGGATCTGAACCTGTGAACCCTGGGCTGCCAAAGCGGAGCTCGCAAACTTAACCACTATGCCACCGGGCCGGCCCCAGGAAACTCTGTTTTTAAGGGCCCATGTGATGAGATCAGGTCCACCCAGATAATCTCCATTTTGAGTAGCTCAAAGTCAACTGTTTAGTAACCTTAATTACATCTGCAACATTGCTTTTGTTGTGTAACATAACATAATCATGGAAAGACAGGGTTTCTCATTTTATTCAGTCCCCTGGATTAGAGAGGGAAATCTTGGGGAATATTTTAGAATTCTGCCTACCACTGCTTGTTTTCAACTTAATTCTGATTTAGTTCTTCTGATTCCACAAGGAAATTTTTAGTTTTAGTGTATTACTAGAACATAACTTATGGTTTCACTGTAAGAAAAATTCAAACAAAACACAGATGTATGTTTAAATAGGTTAAAATCTGTAATCTCACCTTTTAGGGAAACAATCTCTGAGGGTTTCTGCCATGATTTGGAGGCAGGGTAGTTTAATCTCAGTCATCTTTTTTTTCCTGTCAAGGCTGGTAGCAGATGAGATGCAAAATTTAAATTCTTGTATACTGCACAGGGCAGAGGACTGCCTTTTATTGATTGCTGCTGTACCAGTTGATACTCTGAATCTAAAAGGCAGTACAGCAGGCATATTTGAAATATGTTACTTCATTACAGTCAAAAAATATTTTATTGACAACATTATCCTACATTTTTAATAAAAATAGTTCCGCAGTGCAGTAACATGCATTAAATATTTAAAAATCAACTCCCTAAAAATCTAATTTACTAGCCAGAACAATGTATCACAATTTTGAAGAATGGTTCGAAAACAAAGGAGATTTAGTGGGCAAATGATTATGGTCTCTAACTATTTGAAAAAGCACAAAAAGAATAAATTATTTTGTGTGGATCTAGTAAATTCATCCAGGACTGAAGGATAGAGTTGCAAGGAGGTCTATTTCAGTATATAGAAAGGCTTTTTCTTAAAAACAAAATAGAACTCCCTGAGCAGGAACAGGCTCCCGGGAAAATCAGTATGTTTCTTTCCAGTCTAAGTATCTATGCCAGGAGTGCTATACAGCAAATTTCAGCCTACTTTGTCTGAAAAGGGCCAGATGGTAAATCTTTTCAGCTTGGCAGGCCACACTGTCTCTGTCACAACTATTTCATCTCTGTAGTTGTAGGTGAAAACAAGCATAGATAATACATGAATGAATGGGCATGGCTGTGTTCCAATAAAAGTTTATTTACAAAAACAGGCGCTGTTTTTGTAAACAGTGCCAGATTTGGTCTGTGGACTGTGGTTGTCAACCCCTGCTACATCATAGTTTCTGAATTGGGTGGGAGGAGGACCTAAACATCAACCAACTCCCTTCCATACTTAAAATTTCCATGTTGCAAGATTCTTTGTCTGTGGTATAGGAGGGCATAGATACTATTGGACAGAAGATCCTTCTGGGGTAAGCTATCCATACCCCCACTTTATTCAGTTGTGCATCTTGGTGATTATAGTGGAAAAAGTCCAGTGAGATGAGATTTAATTTGCACGACCCCAAATAACTGGGAATATTATGAACCTTTAAAAAAATGGAAACCTGTGGATGAATTGTATGGCCCTAATGTGAAATAGTTAGTATGTTAAATAGCTGAACACAGGAATGGAATGTTCATAGACTATGTTGAGAGGACAAAAAGTTGAAACTGTTGGCAGAAAATCAAAGTCAATATCAGAGCCAAGCAAACAGTGCCTGTGGTGCCACATTAGGAAAGCTTGAAGATCGTCCATTTTTAAGTGGCAAGAGACTCTTCTGTCCAGAATCACGGAAGCAATTGTGCTTTCAGGTAGAGAATTTCTGTTATTCTGATTCCTTCCAAATAGCGTGTTTTTTTAAAAAATTAAGTATAGTTTTTACTTTATGAAGAAGGTATTAATTTATGTTCTAATTTCTTGCATATTTAGAGAGTGTGGAAAAAATTATGTTCTTACGTGTGGAAATATTTAAGCGTAATATATTTTAAAAGCAAAGAGAATATTAACTCATTTAAAAATTTAAAATGAGCTTCAATGGTTTCAAAGCTTTTTTTTTACTTAGGGATTCTGGACCGATGTCACTGCCATTATTTACGATAATTTTTTTTTGCTCAAATCTAGAGGTTTTACAGCTGTTTAATCCCTCTCAACCAATTACTGACAATACAGGTGGCTAATGAACAACAAACATAGTAACAGTCTAGAGGTCTCAATTTATAGCTGGTGCCAAGCCCCTGGGCACAAAATGTACAGAAAACCCTTGTTCTTTGAATTGGTAATTGTGTGCTTAGATTTGCAATTCAGACATTTACAAGAAAATCTCTATCATCTTAAATTAAAGTTCATGCTAAATATGATCTATAACCAGCAGAGTTATGCATGCAGTGCTTTCTCTTTTAGGATGATTTCCTTCAGGCAAGCAGCTTATTTCATTTGCTTGTTTGCTACAGTTTCCTGTGGTGAGTGGATTATCTACAAAACATAAAGTTAAGGGTGTGTGGAAGAGAGTTAAGCAAGGCATGCCACCCGTGGAGAAAGCTATTGAACATACAGCCTTGGGAAGGAGGCAGGATACACATCCTTTTAATGTTTGGAGGCAACAACCACTTCTCAGATGCATCGCCCTAGACACACCAGGGGGAAGACCCCAGAAATGAGAATGTCTTCAGGCATGTGTTACCAGAAACTTCTGTTTGGAAATGGCTCTGTACAAAGCAGATCCTGAAACAATCGGCGCTCCATTTTTATTATCAACATTAAAAAAAATATCAGCTTTATCTGAATATTCAAAAGAGTGCTAGGCATTTTATATCGTCTGGGTCTAACCCAAGTGTAGCAATAGGTACAAAGCATATATTTTTACTCTTTTAGGCCACTGGGAACCATTTCAGAAATAAAAATACCTGGTTTCAATTTAATTTGGAAGTCATCCATTTGAATAGTTCTAGTTTCAACAACAGGTTTTGATCGTATTTCTCTGTCTATCCATTCCATCAAATTTTCAGAGAATAAGGAGGATTCTGGACACTCTTTTTCGTTAATCATTGCAGAGTGGAGTTTTCTCCGTGTCACCGTTATGGGTGGCTTCCGAGTACATGTTGACTTAAGATGGCCACATCACAATGATTGTTTACTTACCTCTCAGATGTATGGCTAAGAGAAACACCTCTTGGGTAAGGGTTACATTGGTAAAGAGATACAATTTCTTCAGGAAGAAGCCTTTTTTTTTTTTCCCTAAACCACAACTCCCCTCCATCTGTCGTCTCATTCCTAATTGCTCTTCTGAGCCAGAATCATTACCATTTACAAATCCATTGAATGCTGAGAAGTAGAAGCCAGAGATGCTGTGGACCATGGCTACTTCAATTTTATTCTTTTGGCCAAAAAAAAATTTCATGATCACACTAGGAAAATTAGAGGTGCAAATAAGCAGAAAATGAGAAACTACATATTTTCTGTAGTCCTATAATACAGAAATGGCCATTGTTAAAAATCTTTTGTTTAGTCTTTCAGATATTTTTCTACACATATCTATGTACACAAGTAACAAAGATATTATTAATTATAGATACTTTTTTTATAACATGTTTCCCATTTAAAGCTACCTTTTCATGCAAATAAATATATATCATATTTTTTGGAGCTTAGTATTCTTCCCTATTCATGGTATTTTTGCATGCACATTCTTACACACATATTGAATTATTTCTGTGGAATAAAATTTTGGAAATAAAAATACTAGATATAAAGGTGTGAATATTTTTGAAGGTTTTATGACATACAACATGAAATTATCTTCCAAAAAGGTAATTTCCAAGTTGACTTTTTCCACTAGTAGATGAGAGTGATCATTTACCCCACCTAGGCCAACTCAATAGTCACTTATTATTTTGTAGCCTGGCGTATATTCACCTTTCTGGAAACAGTATCCTAATTTATTTCTGAGAAACAGCTGCCTCCCAGTTTTGGTCCATGTGGTTGTGACCCAGGCAGGCTTGAACCAGTAAGTAAGGCACACATCTTGCTGGCTGCATTGACCTCATCAGAGCCAAAGCCTTGCAATAAGACTTTTGCTTACACTTCTAGAAATAAGACTCTTTTATTGTTTTTTTTCAATTGAACTCGAACTATGACAGAATGCTGAGACCTGAGCTTCTGGCACTGTCTTTCCACTATGTGGAGCTTGAGAGAAAGGCAACCCCATGGAATAGAGCAAATGTATGAAGGAAAATTGTGTCTTGATGGGATCCGCTGAGCACTGTGTCCAGTTATTTCTGAAGCCAGATCCACCCCCGGCTCTTTGGCTTTGAACCAATACATTTCATTTGTATTCAAGTCACTTTGAACTAGGTTTTTTTTTGTTATTTGCAATGAAAATCAGTACATCGACACTGGTAACTTAGATAATTTTAAATTTTAACTTGCCTGTGTTTATGATTCTTAGCATTTTTCATATACTTATCAGTTGCTTCTATTTCTTTTGCAAATTACCTTTTCATATTCTTCGCCCAATTTTTAAAAATTAGATTCCTTTTCTTCTCTTTATTGATTATATGATCTTTTTAACAAGACTGAATAACTTGCCAAGGTCCATGGACATAAGGACTTGTGTGACATGATATAGCATATTTTATGTTATGAGATAACTTATGTCACAGTGTTTTCCATATACTCTAGAATACAATACAAACAAGCCTATCATCATCACCATCATCATCATCATTAGTACCAGCTTATGAGGTTAAGCAAGAACACCTATTAGAACTTTCTTTCCAGTCTGCTCCAAAGTTGCTGTATTTCTAGTTACGCCTCTCCTCGGCTGAATCACATGGCAGTTCATCAAGGCTCAGTTGCAGAATGGGAACTCCCAGGCTAGCCCCAGCCATTGTTTGTACCCATGTCTGTGAATTGAGGTGGGGGAGGATGGCTGCTTGATAATCACGAATCAGCCAAAAACACCGGTTGTCTAAAACACAAGCCACTTTGCAGCTAGCCTTGTCACCGGACCAGGTACTCAGTATGTTGTGTGTTTATGAAATGTAGGCCTGTGTACCTGGCAACTTGTATTCCCAGAAGCTTCCACCTGAAGAGGTCTCTGCTCTTTCCAAATATAAACCTTACCCAAGGGTTAGTCATCTTAGCCACACCTTTGAGAGAAGGACAAGCAATCTTGCTGGGCTGGGTCATCATAAGAGGGCTCAGGGCCAAAATCCCCAGAGGGGTGGAACAGTTCAGAGGAAGTTTTAATCATCAGGGCTTAATGAAATACACGTATCCAAGCTGCCCATTCTCTGAAAGGCAATACAAAAATAGGTATTATTAAAATTGGAGTGTGACTACTGCCCTAGGGCATGGATGAGGTTGCCATTGCAATATCCTGTGATTAACGGACAGTTGACCGAGTAAAGCGAATGTGTTATCTGAGTTGGAAAAGCTTATTAAGCAGACTTTGAAGTGAGTCTCTCAAGGTTAACTCAAATTCAGTATAACAGTAAAGGTAACACTTAACACTCTAATAATATGTAGGATGCTGGGTACTTTAGAGCTATGAACAATTCCAGATAGCAAATATGTAGTTCAGAATGTATCTTCAATTTGGTGTATGCATGCCTTTGCTTAAGCTGTCTGAAAAATGAGCTTGTAGAAATTGAGCAAATACTTGTTTCTCTGCACTCATTCCTAAAGTAATAAATACCAATAACTGTTAGTTTGCTTGAATTCAACTGAGATGAGGAACAACATTGCACACTAGAAAACGGAACAAGACGGGGAGTCAGAAGAGCTGGGTTTATGTTCCAGGACATTCACCAGCCATGTGGATCTTGGGCAAGTGTGTACTGCCATGAGACTGAGTTACCTAACTTCTTTCCTAAAAAAAAAAGTCAGATATATATAATAAAGACTGTCTCCAGATTCCCTTACAGAGCTGTTGTGAGAATCTGGTGGGGATGTTTGTTATGAAAGTGTTTTGAAAAATAGATCACACATCATTATTTTTAAGGCATGATATTTTCATTGCATGTTAGGCAACAGGGAGAAACCAAGCTAGGATTGCATTTTCTTTTTTTGTTGTTTTTTTGTTTTTTTCGTGAGGAAGATCAGCCCTGAGCTAACATCCACGCTAATCCTCCTCTTTTTTTTTTGAGGAAGACCGGCCCTGAGCTAACATCTATTGCCAATCCTCCCCTTTTTTTTTTATTTCCCCAAAGCCCCAGTAGATAGTTGTATGTCATAGTTGCACATCCTTCTAGTTTCTGCATGTGGGACGCGGCCTCAGCATGGTTGGAGAAGTGGTGCGTCAGTGCATGCCTGGGATCTGAACCTGGGCCGTCAGCAGGGGAGCGTGAGGACTTAACCACTAAGCCACAGGGCCGGCCCTAGGATTTCATTTTCTTGGGGATAATTTGTGTGCAAATTATTGTATGATTTAATAAAAATCAACCAAGTTTTTTTTTTATATAGAAGTACCCATAAAATGACTTGAGCATCATACATTGTTCAAATAGTCACCTTAATATGTTTCATTCTGCCTGTATAATTAAGGTCTTGTCATAAAGATCTTTGGGTATTCCATGGAGGAAGTAAAAAGGTTCAGAACACAGATACTTTTCTGATAATGTAAATTATTATTTGCATTCCTCCCAAATTAATGTCTTTTTTTTCAATGATGACATCATAGGATGCCTGACTCAACTATATGAAAACACCTTCTTCAAAGGTGGGGATGTAACTGCTATTTTCACCCCGAGTGCCCAACACTGTCAGATGATGTGCACGTTCCATCCTAGGTGTTTGCTGTTCAGTTTTCTTCCTGCAAATTCAACCAATGATGCAAGCAAAAGGTAAAAGTTGATATTTTATTATTGGAGAAGCTAGTCATTTTTCAAAATGGAATCAGTTGTGTGCAAAAAAGTGTAGCATATCACAGGGTTATGTTTCTCAAATGGGGTTAAAGGACCAGCTTCATCAGAATCACCTGGAGTAGATCTTACATAAGCAGATTCTTAGGTGAAAGCCCAGACCTACTGAATGAAAGACTCTTGGGATTGGAAATCTGCATTTAAAAAATTTCTGCATTCACTTAAAGTAGTAGAAGATAGTCATTTTCTATCCAAGGCCTCAAGGAAAATGCTTGAAAATCATTGGGTTAAGAGATTGTCTCAAGAAAAGGTCTAAAAACAGGTGAATATTTCACCTGAACAAGGAAGCATAGTTGATGTCTGAATCATGATCACATTTGTGGGTAGCACAGTCCAAAGAAAATATAATAGAAGGCAAGCATTTTGTTGAGAATATAATTGAGTAAGATCCAGAGCTTATGATGCTGAGAGAGGGCAGGTCTGAATGGTGCCTACAGTTAGCCAATTTGAGCACCTATGATATGCGTGATGTGTGTGCACGTGTGTGTGCACTTGTGAATATAGACTATTAACTGGTAATTTGGAAAAGGAAGAGCATTGGAAAAATAATTGGCAATGAAAAATCTTAGTAGGTCATAGAGTTGCCTAAATACAGCCATAGTTTCATTTTCTTTAATTTTGATCAATATCCAGAATGAATGTTTCTTCATTGTTCCATTTCTATATCCACAATTCTTTTCTTTTATCTTCACTCTATTTGAATTTGAAAACTAGGAATTAGATAACCATCCCTTGATTCTACATGGTAAACTTGTACAGAAAACCCAGATTGTATGTGAGAGATGTCAACTTTTTAAGGAAAAAGGTGAGTTAGGTTCTAGAATCCTTGTGAATAATGAAATTACCATTGAGGTTGACATGAAAGACAGAAAGAAGTCTTCCATTAGGTGTGGACTAGAAGGAGTTAGTGAACGAGATGGACACCATATATAGATCCAACTCTCATGACTGATTTAATTTCATAAGTAAGTGAAAGTATTTATGAAAACAATCACCAAGTAGGAACATAATTTCCCCAAAAGTTTAGGAACACAGGAAAAATCACTAACTCTTTAATATGATTGACTTCCTGTACTTAAAAATGTGAATGTATAGGAAAACAATACTGAAAGACCGTTAGATATTATGGAATAGCCTCTAAGAATGTTCTTTCCGGCAAATGTCAGGGAAGCTGTATTATTTTCCTTATTCCCGCCTATATTTATTAGTGCATAAAAAATGCTAGATGTTTCCTCAATGTGTGTTTATTATTTCACTTCCTAAGTGAAGCTACTTTTAAAAACAGGTTTGGTTGCTTCATGAAAGACAGTGTTACGGGAACGCTGCCAAAAATGTCACGGAAAAATGCAATTTCTGGACATTCCTTGAAGCAATGTGGACATAAAATAAACGGTAAGATGTGGATTTCTTAGCTAAAGTTGAATGAATGAGGAGTCTACCTTAGAAAAGCTTCTGCTCAAACTCTGTACTGTCATGGACTTTTGGAAGGGAGCCCTCAGAAAGAACAGAGATGGGGCAATATTCTGGACATATCCTCTTGTTTTTATCAATCAACACTCACTTAAGGAGCCTTTATTATTTACGAGGGTAGCACTACAGGTAAGATTTGCAGAAAGTGAATACCCGTCTAAACAATAGTCTCCCCTTGATTCCAGATAAGAATCTTAAAGAGAACACAGAGAGTTCTCTCTTTCTGTTTCACTTGAAGGTGATTTGTACACCAGTGGTTCTCAAACAGGGGTGATTTTGTCCTTCCACCAGGGGGCACTTGTCAATGCCTGAGACATTTTTGGTTGTCACAACTTGGGGGGATGCTACTGGCATCGAGTGGATAGAGGTCAGAGATGCCACTAAATGTTCCACAAGGCACAGGGAAGCCCCCACAACAAAGATTTTCTAGTCCCATATGTCAGGAGTGCAGAGGTTAAGAAATCCTGTTAAACTCCCATACTGAAGGACTGGGCTTTGTAAATCTTGCGAAGAATAATACTTAAAAATATATGAGGATTAGGAGGCCAGGAAACTTTAATCCTGACACTTACTGCTATTAACGTCTTGAGAAACAATTTCCAACCCTATTCTAATAAATTTAAGGCAAATGAACTATTTCTCTAATGTGACTGATCTGAGAGTAAAAAGTACGGAAAAGATTCTCTCAATTGATGGGTTGGCAGAACCTTAAAATAACCATGTTATCACTATACATCATTGTTATTCTACCCTTACTATATACAGTTAATTTTGTAGGATCAAATTTCAGATGTTTTTAAAATTTTTCATCCTTTCCTGTCCCATTAACACCACTCCCTCAATACATACACACACTTCGTGCCTGCAGTTTGTATAGTAACCAGTCCTTGGTGATAAACAGGGGGACATGGCTTAGCCAATATGTAATTTACCTAGGAAGGAGTACATTTTCTATTTTATAAGATCAAATTTATATCTTAATAAAATTTAGTGTAAATCATTCAATTAAGCATTAATTTCAATTGTGGCATCATAGTAAAATTTAAAGAAAAAATAATATTGTGCCTTTCTCATTACACCTAGTTATTTTTTCCCCCAAAACTTAGTCTACTCACAGAGCTTGATTTAATGTTCTCTTCTAGCTCTCCCCAAATATCTTACATTAAAGTGAAATTAAAGTGAACTATTGCTTCCAGGCATGTAAAGTCTCTTAACTCAGGACCGATTTTGGTTTAAAACATTTAGGGGTAGGTTTATAGCTTTCAACTAACCATAAAGAAACGTTTTAGTTTGTAAGTATCCCAGCCCAACTCTTAGCCTGTTTCTTTTTCTCATGTGCAGCAGAATGGGAAAGAGATTCCATTTCTATAATCAGCAAATTCCTGTGAGCATGAACCACCATGAATAATCTACTGCCCTGCCCACCTCAATACATTGTTTTCCTACTAGTTTGCATATTTTCTGTAATTCTCACCATTAAATCTAGTTTTATGACTCCTTCAACCATACCTCTTAGGAGTGGAAAATTACATACAATAGATTATGGTTTATATTGCTGGTATCCTTAGCCAAGGGTCTAACTAACAAATTTGAGTCTTTAAGACAAAGAGCCTAACTCATTAATTTGGTTCATTGTCTGTTGAAAGAATTACCTATATTTTTTGTATATAAGACAAATTTCAATTGAAAGGATGCTTAGGTGGAATTTAACAGAATTCTAAAGCAAGAATGGAAATGGCTTCATCATGCATCTACAAGAACTCTCCACATTTTATGATAATGATTTGACACATAGATGTCAATGACGGGGCTTACAGATGCAAGTCACAATCAGACAGGAGTAGTTGAAAGTCGAGAAACAAGCAAAGAGATGAGAAGCTCCTTCACTCCACGCAAGAGGTCGAAGACACCTCCGTTTGTTTAATAATGCAAACCTCCGCACACGTCATCAGGGTCCTCGTTATTATTGCCTTGTTTATCTTCCATTGCTCGTTGATAATTTCAGTGTGAAATATTACCTGTATTGATGAAGTTTTGAAAGCACAGTAACCCCTTTTCCATGTTAGTCCCTAAGACATATTGGAATGTGTTTATTTCAAGCAGAGTTTGATAATTTAGTAATGTAATAAAAAATCTAAATCCCCTAATTAACAGGGAAATTGCCAAAAACAGAATATTACCCTTCAAAACTGCCCTGCTCAAACTGATGATGTACTTCTAGAAGGGAAACTGACTGAATTTGTCCCATGTGTTTTATTGGTACAGCTTGCCACCGAGACATTTACAAAGGAATTGATATGAGAGGTGACAATTTTAACCTATCTAAGGCTAATAGTGTTGAAGAATGCCAAAAACGCTGCACGAATAGCATTCACTGCCAATTTTTCACATACGCCACACAAGCATTTTCCAGTGCAGAGTACCAGTGAGTAAAATTTATAATGTTTGTTCTCTCTGATGGTAGTTTTAGGATTTAATTGTATTCTTCATAACCTCTTTTTTTTTTTTTTTTTTTTCAAATTGAAAACCAAACAGGACTTTTAGACCTAACAACCCTCCTTATTTACTTACTCAATTTTGGTATCGTTTTTCTGGAAGAGAATGGTTTCCATTTGGACCACAGATAGGCTGTGCTTGTAGAATGAGGGTTTAGTAAAATAATGTCCCCCACCCCGTTCTCACCCTAACCTTCCCTCTGCAGGGGGGAAAGATGTCTATTTGATTAATATACAAACCCCTAACCCACTCATTGTCAAAGTCATTGTTCTGATTGCTTTGTTTATTTTCCATTGACCGTGGATCATTTCAAAGCAAAATGGATGGCTGCATGCACCTTGCAGTTTAGAAAGCAAAGTAACCTCTTTTTTTCACATTCAGGAACAGCTGCCTATTAAAGCGGAGTCCAGGAGGAACACCCGCCACTATAAAGGTGCTGGCTAACGTGGCATCTGGATTCTCACTGAAGCCCTGTGCTCGCTCAGAAATTGGTAATTACATGGCTATTATTTCACTATGTGATTGTAATAGGCAGAATAAGAGTCCCCCAAAGCTGTTCACATCCTAATTTCTGAAACCTGTGAGCACGTTACCTTACACAGCAAAAGGGGCTTTGTAGATGTGACTAAGTTAAAGATTTTGAGATGGGAGATTATTCTGGATTATGTGGACGGGCCCAATATAGTCGCAAGGGTCCTTATAACAGAAAAAGGAAGACAGAAAGGTCAGAGTCAGAGAGAGAGAGAGAGAGAGAGATCTGAAGATGTTACACTGCTTTGAAGATGGAGAAAATGTCCATGAACAAAGAAATGCAGGTGGCTTGTAGAAACTGGAAAAGACGAGGAAACAGGTTCTCCTATAGAACTTCCCGAAGGAAAAAGCCCAGGCAACATCTTGATTTTAGCCCAGTAAGACCCATTTTGGACTTCTGATCTCCAGAACTGAGAGATAATAAATGTATGTTGTTTCAAGCCACTCAGTGTGTGATAATTATAATAGCAATAGGAAACTAGTACAGTGACATTGTAGAGAAAACTATAAGGTCATTTCTTGGTTGTGTCCATCATCTAGTGAAGTGACTCTACCACAACGAATCAATAAAATCCTGTAGTTTCAGACTTATAGGTAATTTCAGTTGAATTATCCAGAGAATTGCCATGACATTCCACCTTATTTAGTGTATCACCATGTTAATGATAAGATATTATTGAAACCAAATCACCAATAGCGCATTCTACACAGTATCGAGAGCTGACTCTGTGTCAAGCCCTGTATTGGGTGCTGGGCTAGGACCTCTCCATGGATGATAGGGAAGTTGGCAACAATGAATCTATTTTCCTATTTGTTTCCTCTTTCTCCCAGCACACCCCTTCCATGGTGCGTACCAGATTTACTGGTTCAAATTTACTGATTATTTAATTTTTAATATTCATATTTGGTTTTTTAAACATAATTTCTATCTCTTTATTCATATTCTGTGTTTGGTAAGACATTGTTTTCATACTTTTCTTTAGTTCTTTAGGCATGGTTTCCTTTAGTTCTTTGAACATATTTAAAATAGTCGACTTACAGTCTTTGTCTAGTAAAGCCAACATTAGTACTTCCTCAGCAACAGTTTATATTGACTGCCTTTTTTTCTGTGTAAGGGCCATACTATCTTGTTTCTTTGATATGGCTTATAATTTTTTGTAAGAAAAAATTAGACCTTTTAGATAATAGTACGTGGCAACTCTGGAAATCAGATTCACTTCTTCCCCAGACTTTGCTCTTATTACTGTTTTTTGTTGTTGTTTGCAGTTTGTTTGGTGGCTTTCCTGAGCTAATTCTGTAAAATGTGTATTCTATGCTGTATGTGGCCACTGGTGTCTCTGCTTGGTTTTCTTAGCAGTTATGTTACTGAACCAAGTAGGCTCGCCTCCTGGTGAGTTAAATAAGCCTATATACACCAGTGGAAGTTATCTCACAAAGTAAAGTGTATTTGCAGCAAATAGGAGGCCATGAGGAATCATTTGCAAAGTTATGGTGTCCTCGAACAAAGGGAAGCAGGAACTTTTATTTCAGTTGGGGAATGAATATTCAAAAGGGAGATGCAGGTATGCGCTTGCACAGGCTCAGTTGGAGAACATGCTTCCACATAATGAGGCCTAAGCTCCTCCTGGAGAGATCTTTGCATTAAGAATAAGGGAAAGGTCATGGGCATAGCTCTCGTGGTGAGGCTTGGTCAGCTTCAGGATGGCTGGTGGTTACATCTCCTTAACATACAAAAGGAAAAGAAACAACTTGGAAAAACAGTTAATTGCTTCCAAACCCACCTTTGAGTTTCTCAGGCACCTAGTTGGTGACAGTTAGTTAGTGATTGGACAGAAATTTTCTTAATGCCTATAACCAGTAAGTCTCCCAGCCTTTGATAAGGGGCTTTCTGTGAGTGTTGGGGCATGCCTTCAATGCTTAGGCAAGCATTCAGCAACTTTGCCTTGACCTTCACTTTCTGCTGATGCAGAGCTCACAGAGCTCAGCATCAGCCAGCAGTGAGATTTTAGGGCTTTCTTAGATCTTTCATGGCCACGTACACAGCCCTGGTCACGCACACAGCCCTATACATGCACATGACCTTCTAGAGCCCAGGAATTCACAGATTTACACCCTCCCCCTTCCCCCACCATGGACATCTCTTTCTCCTGGTTTTCGTTTTAAGATTTTTATTGGTTTCCTGTTTCCTCATCTGTAATTGCTGCCTTAGGCAGCCACAATGTTACATAAATGCCACAATTTTTTTTTTTTCTTTGACAAATATTTCCAAGGAAAAGGCCAGTAACACTGAGGAAGCTCTGAGTCATGTCAAATAAACTCAATTCTTGTGAGTGGGATTTTCCTGAGAACTTCCAGACAGGTCAAATAAAGACAAGTCACTGGTATGGGGCTTAGAGTAGCTCCAACCCCATTCTGCCCCCTCCAGTGGCTGCTAGAGGTTTTCAGCACCGTTATGGGGCTGTTTTCAGGGCTTACGTGGAGCTGGGAGAGGGAGATGGGAATAGGCCAAGTTAAAACCCCACAAAACTCACTGTTCTTACTGAGATTCAGCTGTTTTTCTTGAATTAACACTTCCTGGACTGTAATAAACCTTTAGTTAATTTCTAGAGTTCTAAAAATGTTCATTTTGACCATTTTGCCAGTGCTCTCATTACTTTTGCAGAGGAAAGGATTTTCAGAGTTTCTGCCATTCCTACTAACATCCTGTAGTGCTTTTGATAAACAAAACAAAACAAACAAACTAGCTTTAAAAAAGAAAATGGGGGGCCAGCCCGGTGGCATAGTAGTTCAGTTTGCTTGCTCTCCTTCAACGGCCCAGGGTTTGCAGTTTCAGATCCTGGGCACGGACCTGTGCACCACTCATCAAGCCATGCTGTGGCAGCATCCCACATATAAAATAGAGGAAGATGGGCACAGATGTTAGCTCAGGGCCAATCTTCCTCAGCAAAAAGAAAGAAAGAAAGAAAGAAAGAAGGAAGGAAGGAAGG